CTGAAATCCTGACTTTGGATCATCATGCCAGTTTGACAGCATTGGGTGAGGGAGAGCGTTCTTGCTGCTAAACCCATTCTAGAAGTATCCCAACTGGATAAGAAATCAGAGGGTCACTCATACAAGTTCAAGCCTGTGACTCAGAATGAACCCGTGGTCACAACCTAGGATGTGCTGTTAGAGCAAATGTGGAAAGCCATGAGGTTTTGATTTTATAAACTCTCAAGATACAAGCTCCCCTACTGAGAGGGACTGAACCAGATCCTCCCATCTGCCACATTCCAGACTTCCTTCCCTCTGTCCGCTTACCTTCACAGAGACCTTCCCATGGTCTGCAACAGAGCTGATGATCACTCCTGGAAGCTGTCCACAGATCATAGAGTAAGTCAGGTTCAGTTAGGACAATCGAGTCAAGCAGAATGCCTTTCAAATATCCCTCTCGAAGGTCCCACGTTACAAAGTATAGTATCTGATCTTTGGATTTGTCTCTTAATTTGAATTGAAAAAGGCTAAGAAATCCCTTTTCTTCAGACTTCCTATTAAGGGAGTTTGAAGAAGTAAATATTTTTGAAGCCTTAAGTAAGTCATGCTCCTTTCAAAACAGGCTCAGAACTAGAGCAACTTGACTAAAAATGATGGTGACATAGAATCATGTAAATCTTGGATGAGGTGAATCTTATTTTTTTTCCACATTCAAAATCATTACCTTCCAGCACTGCAAACCCAGCAAGTAATTGCTATGATCAGCGCAATTCATATTCAAATGCCCGCCATCCTTGCTTCCTGGAGCCAGCCTCCCAGATGCGCCTGCATTGTCAAAAGGTATGAAGACTAATTTTTAAATATTTAAAACACTGTTTTCACTGAGAGAATTCAATTTCCGAGGAAATAAATGTTCTTTGGGATTTAACACTAGCTCTTACAATGGGGGCTAATGTTGATTGAAAACTCCCTGACCAGGCAGCCAAGCTGTCCTTTCATGAGCCTATCCCCTCTGGCCTGTGACCACATCAGTTTAACATCAGTCCTCAACCTCAGAGCTCTGAGAGTTTGTCTCATCATACTTAAAGTCCATCAGAGCCAGGTCTGCCTGTCTCACCTGCTGCCACCCCTCCTCTTTCCCCTCCACTCCTCTCTTTGAGGAAGGAGGGAAGCCTAAAAAGGCCTACACTGACAGTTCATTTCAATCTTCCCGAAGATGTTTCCAAGATCACAGAAACTCTGATTTTGATATTGGAGGGAACAGACTTAAAGGTCATGCTTCTAGTGAAGTAAAACAACAAGAAAAGTCTCTTGGGCATTCTTAATAGAGAATCATTCAAGCAGGACTGGAAGCACATTTTTTCTTGTTAGGTTACATTTTGTTCAAATCAAGGTCCGGGGCCAGAGTGATAAGACAGCACCTAGGATGTTCACCTTGCAGGTAGCTGACCTGAGTTTGATCCCCAGTATCCCATATTTGTCTCCTGAGCACTGCCACAAGTGATCCTTGAGCACTGAGCACCACCAGAGATGGCTCTCGAAAACCAATCAATCAATAAATAAATAAATCAGAGTGGGTGCTGGAATTTGACTTGTCATTTCCCTGTATCCTCTGCTGGGATTTGAGTCAACGGATGAACCTCTTTGGGTTTCAACACCCCTGATTGTAAAATAGAGGTTTGCTGTACCTATGTGCCATAATTTGCCCCAGGAGAGACAAGAGAACCAGTCCCCAGGCATCAAAATTACATAAAGGATAGAAAGTTGGACTTTGGAATCTTCCAGGGGTGGCAGTGCCATCCCTCTAACTGTGATCATTGTCCTAATATCACTTGAAAGCCCCCGTCCTTAATTTTGGGTTTTGGGCCACACCCAGTGGTGCTCAGGACTTCTTCCTGGCTCTGCACTCAGGAATAACTCCTGGCAAGGCTCAGGAGACCATATGGGATACTGAGAATTAAACCATCAGCCAAATACAAGGTCAGTGCCTTACTCAGTATATTATCTCTCCAGTCCCTGAACCCCATTATTGTACCTAAGTGTTTAGGCCGGGCTTGTCTAAAGTCTACCATAGATGGATGCACAGATTCCTCCCCTCTTTGCATCCATCCATGAGAAAATTTAGAAGTCAGACTGACCACTGGCTTATTTGAGGTTTTTCCATTTGTGGTGATGTCAAGAGAGATACATTTAAGCATCTTGTTCTAAAAGTAGGGCAAAGCAATTTATACTTACTTTCAAAAATTTTATTTCTTTCCTTGTTATTTTTTTTTCTCAAGGTGATTCTTTATTATGTCCTCATTAAAAGTAACACTGAAATATCTACAATCCCAAATCAGAGGGTGGAAAACTAATGCTCTCCACTAAATATTCATCAGACTTAAAGGCTCAGCAGCATATATTTAAATGTGTTGGGCATATTTTCAAACTGGAATCAATCCAGTGGAACTCCTGGGGTTTTCTGTAACCAAGGCTAGAACTTGTCAGAAAAATGAATACAAACTGAATGAGAAGACATCATTTCCCGTTAGGGCTGGTGTTTAAAGTATGTGAAGGTGTTTTAAATGTGCACAGCCTTTTAGACATAACATCACACCTGTCCCTCCAAAGACGACAACAGAGGAACACAATGAAACAACCCATGGAGAGAGAAGCTGGCGTTGGCCAAATGTTTGGTTTCTTGTCTATTTGGGCGGCATAAAATGGTATGGCTGGCTAATGGAAAACCCACGCTTCAGACTAAAAATACATTGTCCTTGGTAATGGAGTAGTACTCCTCCTTTGAAGATGAAAAGCATCCTTTGTGTTAAGTTTTCGACTTGTCAGTTCCCAAAACCAGACCCCAGAAATACTCTGTGTTCCTCTGCTAATACAAAGAAGCAGATGCCAGCAAATGGGCACCTGCCCTTTCAAGGAGCCCAAGACCCGTCTCATTGGATGCACCCTGTAATATGATGACTGACCTTGCATCTTATGGACAGGGCTTTTGGGATAAATACTCAGAACTTTCAGTAAAAGGACGCTAGGGCCGTTCACACGATGAAAGATGCTACATGCCCATGCCTGGGTGTACCTGCACCAACCAAACCAGACTGGCGACAGATTATGAAGAATTAGGGGGCTAGAGACATAGAACAGTAGGTAAGGCATTGGTCATGCACACAGTCAACCTGAACTTGATCCCTAGAACTGCATATGAACCCCTGAGTGCAGCCAGGAGTGACACCTGAGCACAGAGAAAGGAGTAAGCCCTGAGCATCATCAGGTATGTCTCCAAGGCCAAAATCCAGACAGAAAAAGAATAAGGTAATTAGGCAGAGGGAGAGTGTAGGGCTTAAGCCACATGTAAGGCTCAGGTAATACCACTGGCACCACATGGTCCCTCAAGCATATCAAGGTGCAATCCTGGTGGCCCCCACACATACCAACAATGTGATGTATATAATTCCCGACACTCCAGGAACTGAGTAGTACCCCTGTCCTCAGACCTGGCATTGAACTGATGGTCTGACTGTTGGCTAGAGAATTACCTGACCTGACCAGGAATTTCCCATTCCTCACCCCCCAAACCCAATAAATTAGATACCCCAGCAGCCCACTTAGGCAGGTCTGATTTTTGTTGTTTCGTTTGGGGGCCACATCTGGCTGTGTTCAGGACTTACGCTTGGCTCTGTGCTCCAGATCACTACTTCTTGTTTGGGGGGAACCGCATAGGCATGGTGTGGGCAAGGCCAGCGCCCTACCTGTGGTACTATCTCTTCTGCCCCTAGACAGATTGAACTTTGATACTGTTAACTCACAGTGGTACTTTCTTTACAGTATTCCACGTGAGTTAAGGAGGAAGAAGAAAGTTTCTCTATGCCATATCACTTCTGTACCTGTCCCCATGACCACCATGACAGAATGTACCACTGCTCCTCTCTGCTCATGGAGCAGCAGAAGGCTGGGTGGGCTCTCTGCCCACCAAACAAGCATCATTTTGCAGACACCCTCAAATAAGGCTCTAGTGGACAGAACCCCACAAGCTACTAGTCCTGGAGACAAAGGACTATCTATCCTATAAGCAGATGGACAGGAGTATCTGTCTGCTCATAGAATAGCTTTTCTCTCTTCACTCTACCCAAGGGCATCAGTTTGGCCATTTCCTGATGAGTTTCTGTTTCTATCAAAGAAAAAAGATGATTATTTTCCAAATAGGAATCATCTTTAAAAAAAAGATATGTACCCACCAGATCAGCTCATTTTTCACTTTTTAATGAACATTTAAGATTCATATACAAAAGCGAACAGAGCAATAGTTCAACCATGGAAAGCATACATGAAATCAAATAAAAACAATTGACCATCACGTATTACCACTGAAGCGCAGTTGCCCTGGCACAGGGGGAGCTGTGTTACTCCACAGGTAACAAGGGCCGACCACCACAGGCGCCACACGGGTCTTGCTTTAGTTGCTTCTTGTCTATTTTGGTCATTATTTGCTTAGTGAAGGAGAATGGGGTTGGGAAGAAATTATTTCCTCTTACCAAAAAAAACAAAAAGAATTTTTATGCAGTTAAATTTTTCCATAGGGAAAAGATTTTAAGTGTGAACCTAGCATACCCTATTATTTCTGTTATTGAATTTGTCTGCTTAAATATTTGCTATGTTATTATTATTATTATTAATTTTGCTTTTTGGGGTCATACCCAGCAACACTCAGGGGATACTCCTGGCTTTGCACTCAGGAATTACTCCTGGCAGTGCTTGGCGGATCATAAGGGATGCCAGGGATTGAACCCGGGTTGGCCGCGTGCAAGGCAAACGCTGCCCAACCCGCTGTACTATCACTCCAGCCCCGCTATGCTATTTCTTAATATGAGATCATGCAACTGTCTTCTGACTGTAGAACAGGAAGAATTCGCTAAGGAATTCATTTTGTCGTTCACTGCTGACGGTTTGCCTTTGGTGACTGAGACATGTGTCCTTGGTCACTGCCGAGGGCTGACCAACACGTCATCACAGAGCGTTTTGTAAAACATTGGGAAAATTTATATGAAATGACATTGGAAGTATAAAAACCGTTGTTCAATAACCCTTGGAACTGTTAAAAATAGACTTATCTGGATTGTAAACGATCGCTGTGAGATAGATCCTGGGTATTCAAGGCTGGGAGTTTCTATTTCTCGCCATGTTCTAGAAAGATTTCTGCTCTCCACCCCCACCCTTTTGAATCAAGGCGACCTCTTTGAAACTTCTGACACTTATATATAGAAACATCAAGGCAATATTATTGGTACACATTATGGAACATGCAAAAATTTCCTGAAAGAGAGTGCCCACGTAGAGAAGGTCCCAGGGTCCCTGTGGCCTGGGCATCTTCTGGCTGGTGGGTGACTCTCTGAGTTATTTTGGTGAACCAGCGCCCTTGATCACAGGCTCCCTATTCAGATAGGTGGCCCAGTAGACCAAGTTGAAAGTGCCGAACAAAACTGGAAACACAATACGGGACATCTTATCGATCTTGCTGATGCTATTGTAAGTCTTTTTGTTTTCTGCAGCTTTCTCTTCCGGGGCTTTCCCTGGGACCAAGACTGCTTCGGCAGAGACCTGATCCCTGGGGATGTTGGGTGGGAGGGGCAACCTCGCAGTGTTATAAGCATTGGTGGTCGTATTCAGTAGGCGTTCCCGCTCTTTTTTCTGGAAAACAGGATGAGAAGGTAAGGAAGGGGGCTGCTCTGTATAGGAAATCCACCCATTCACGATGCTGTTGGGTATCTTTTAAAAATTACTTAATGAAAGGACCATGATTTACAAAGTTAATGATAGTTGAGTTTTAGGTATAGAATATTCTAGCACTAATCCCACCCCTTGTATTCACTTCCCTCCACCCATGTCCCCTAGTTCCTTCCCCGACCTCCACTGGCCATCTTGACAGTTTGGTGACTATGGTTTAGATCTCGTGATTTCAGAGTTGCTGATACAGAGCTATAGCACTCCCTCACATCAGCACTGGAGGCCTATGGACCCTGCCTGCTGTTATTCACTTTCTCTCCTTCTCCTTCCCCTACCACTTTCTTTCCTTCTCTGTCCTTCTTCTCCCTGTTGTCTGGGATCAAGGCTGATCTAGGCAGCATCCACATTTTTCTCCATTTCCTACATTCAGTCTAGATATTTCAGATGGGATTCTTCAGGGTCCAAGGACACCCACTTCTATGAATATTTTGCCAGCTCCATTTTTCATCCTTTATGTCCATTTGTTTGTGGGCCCCTAGCTCCCCAAATTGCACCTAGCCCCAATGTTCCCACTTGGCAAGGCCATCTCCTCCTTCCTGTCAGAAGCCCACAGGGAGCTCTCTGGGCCTTTCCTCCATGAGGCTAATGGATCAGGGCAGCTCTTCCATGCCTGAGACTCAGCCGAGGCCATAGCAGAGGACACGGGGCACTCAGAGGACAGAAAATCAGAAGGGCCAGGCCACCTGCAAACATCTTACATTTCACAGGCAAGTTAACATTTCTTTGATAAGCAGCATTCAAGGAAACAAAACAACACAAAGCAGAGACTACTCATGATGACACTGAGTGGAACGTTCCTCACAGACACAGGTGTCCCAGACTGGGTCCCTGGCTGAGAGTTCAGGACATGTCATTCTGGTCCTTTTGATAGCAGCAGAGGAGTGAAAGAGGCACTTCGGTTTCCCCTTGCCAGCAGGTCCACTGTTCCATGGACCTAACACAATCTTCATCCCCATGGTCCTGTCTTACATTTTAAACCTTCCTGTAATTTCCCAAGACCAGAAAGTTCTTCCCAGAGTTTAGGCTCCCACGAGTAAGATAGTAGGCACACAAGGCAAAAGGCCAGACTACTCTGTAGGGCCCTTGTGTTCTCTACCCCACTGTCTATCAGGAGAAATGGAAAGAGCCCAAATTTCATTTAAAAGGGCTACACAAAACCCTTTATCTTTAACTTCCCTGTATCTCTGCAACATTCTGCCACTCAGTAACACCAAAACCCAGTTTTCTTAGAACCAAAAAAAAAAAAAAAGCCCTAGTTAACCTGGTCCTATACTAGGTTCCTCCCTGCTTGGGGATTTCCCTTCCTTTTTCCTTTTCCTTTCCAAAAAAATTTCTATTTCCATCTCTAAGCCTGAGCATCTTTATTACTCAATATTTTCATTCTTGAAAATGTTGAAGAACCTGGGAACTGTAGACCACATAGTACACAGAGAGTGGCTGTTCCCACACCAGCTTCAGGGACCACACGGAAATAGCTTCCAGAGATGAAGAAAGAGAATGCCTGAAGGGTACCTGGGAGATAAACACTCCCTGTGCCTGCCCTGTCTCCCTCTATCTTACCACCTTGCATGTAGCATGCTCAGTCACCCCCGGAGTCAAAGAATATTCAAAAAAAGCTTGACACCTTTCCCAGGCTTCTTGGCATTTGGGATAACCAGGCTAAGCTGCCCATTCTAGTCTGTCCTAGTCAATCCCAGCCTATCTTTGACTGTTGCAGTCTGTCCCCGCCCATTCCTGCCCATCCCTGCCCATCCCTGCCCATCTCAACCCTTCCCAGTTCCTCAGAGCCCTTCCAAGTTGATCCCAGTTCATTCTTGCCTGTCCTGACCTACCCCTGTTTTTTCTTCCCCTTCCCTTCCTTTCCCCCAATAAGGTTTCTTCTGAGTCTGCCATCTCGGCTTGGACCTGAGGACATAAACCTGAGTGTCTAAACACTGCTAGGACTCGTGCTGCTGAGGTTTTATTTTTATTTACTTGAACCACACCCCATTGTGTTCAGAGCTGACTCCTCACTCTGCTCAGGAGTCACTCTGATAGTGCTCGGGAGTGGTACAGGGGATCCAACACAGACACCCTCACCCTGGGCTCTCTCCAGCCCCAAGCTGAAATTTGAAAGAACAGATTACGTCTCAGTTTCACATCTACGCAGAGAACTCAAGCAGGTTTAGAGTGAAGGATTTCCTTATTTGCTTAAAGTCTGATGTAATGAGCAGCTTATCCTGAACTGCTTTATTTTCAAATCTCCTCTCCCCAAGGGCACGGTTCAGCTTGGAATTCTGGGCTGCAACCTTTCTCCTTCAACCCAGTCCTCAGATTGAGGCACCAAGAAGCATGTAACTACTCAACAATGCATTGCTCCAGAGCAGAGAGGAATGCTTTCCTTCCAAGGGGCCAGTGACGTTGTATGCGCTCAGCATCTGTGGGGTTTGCTAGGGCCCCATTCTGGCCTGCAGATCACCTTACATAAGATATGCTGCATAGCGGAATGGTCTGTGGGACTAAAAACCAGACAAACACCCTGCTTGTCTGGGCCATTCCAACAGCATCTGGTGCCTCTCTGGAATGACACTGGTGGTTCAGAGCAGAGCACACAGAGCCTGTGGAAAGGCACAGCTCTGCACACACCAAGCCCGGGGGTGGAGGAGATGGGCAGAGGAAAAGCTTCCCTACCTTATTCTTGGCTGCTTCCTGGGCTTTCTTGCCATCCCAGGCCCAGCCTCTTTTGGTGAAGTAGTTGACAGTGGCAAACTCAATCAGCGCAGAGAAGACGAAGGCATAACACACAGCGATGAACCAGTCCATAGCAGTGGCATATGCCACCTTGGGCAGGGAGTTGCGGGCACTGATACTGAGGGTGGTCATAGTCAGCACTGTGGTGACCCCTGCAGTTGTAGAGGGCATGGGGTGAGGAGGCAGAGGGAGAGAAGAAAACAGATCAGTCCCGCATCTAGACCCATTTCCCCCAACCATGACGGACCTGAGGAAACTGGCCAATGGCTTCCCTCCCTGCGGTCTTTGGGACACACACACCAGCACTGACTTTTTTGCTTATTATTCTTTTTTCTTGTTTTGTGGATGCTCCATCACTAGAATATAGTCTTGGAGGCCAGGATTTGCATCTGACTTCTCCACGGGGACTCATCCTATTCCCCTTGACCTGAATCAAGTCCAGAAGACAGTTGTGTCCCCCACAGAGGATAAGGAGAAGGATTGCTTCCTGGGGTGGGGTGAACTCTCCCCCCTCCCCATATACCCTCCCCCTACCCCTGCCATAAACAGGTAATGATCTGGACACAGTTTGAGTGAAGTGTTTCACTGAACTTGTGTTGTATGCAGAGTGAGCTGGAGGCAGGCAGCCGAGGCAGGTGCCAGTTCCTGGATGAAGTCAGCCCGAAGACTGGCAATGACTTCCTGGGATGTAATAAAACCAAGATGAGATTTGTAGTAGTGACTCTGTCACTAGCCCTGAAGTTGCTGGAAGCATTTGGGCCATGCCCACTTTGTAGATGGGGAACTGAGACCTGAGAAGACTCTAATTGGCCCACTGCAGGGCCAAAGAGGGCTGGATCTCCTCCAGAGAGAAGCTCCAGCAGGAGCAAAGGCAGTAATAGGACGGGAAGGTGGACACCAAAAGCTCCAAACTCTTCCCCATGCCCACGCCCTAGCAACACCTTTATCTTATCTAGGCTCACTTTTAAGTCTCTATGCCATTGAAGCATCATATCTGACCCAGGCTCTGGGCATCCCTCCGGCTGAGCCCCAGTATCCCCTCCAGCTGCAGTGCCAGATGGTCCCTGTCTGCTGTGGCTTCTGGAGAAAACTTTGCAGCCAGGCTGAACCCCCAGGAACATTCTTCCACAAATGGCAGGTTCAACACCACCTACCAGGGTAAGACTCCCATGTAAGCAAGGATGCTGTCACCCAAAGGTATTGTGACCCAGATTTTGCAGGTGAGACACTTGAAGACTGAAAGTATTTCGGGATATTCATCAGTGGGCAAATGAGACCCCATACTGGGACCCAGACCTGCAGGGCCCAGTAAACATGTGGCTTCCTGACTTCCTGGACCATCCCTCTTCCTGCAGTTTTGTCCACCTCACATTCATCTCTGGAAGCTGTCCCTTTCAGAGATTCTGAGTCTGTTTCTTAGAAACATGATTGTTACCATAATCATTAGGGCCCTCATCTATAAGATGAGGGATCCCAGAGACACACCAACGAAACAACCTGGGAGATTTGGAATTATGCTGCCCCTCAAACAAGGAATTCTTAGAATTAGATCCAGGAGAAAAACCAGAGACAGAACCTTTTTCCCAACCTCAGAAAGAAGCATCTTGGCTGCCATCTTGATTCTGGGCTTGTCTTGATTTTAGATCTCTTAAAACTAGGAGACAATGAATATCTGATGTTTGCCTCAGTGAATGCCTATTCATGGCTGACTGGCTACCACAGAATATTACTCAGTCATGAGAAAGGTGGAGCACAGTTAATATGGCATACTGGTATGGAACTGGTGGAGACCACACTGAGTGAGACAAGTGAGATGTAGAAAAACATGATTCTACCATATCTTTTCACTCAAGCAGAATCTAAACAAATTAAAAAGAAAAAAGCTAACAACAAAACCCTGCTAACAACAAAACAGTGCACCGTGCTGCCTTTTCCAATTTAGTCCCCCTCCACTTACTGAATCACCCTTGAATGGTCACATGAAATTGGGGGAGGGCTTCTGGGCAGTAGCTAATCTCTCTGCACAACCCAAAGCTCCTGGACAGGCCATCAAACAAGGCTGGTGAAATGGGCACATGGTCTAATCAGAAACCCCTATGCCACCGACTGCCTCCTCTCCGGGGACTCTGATTCATGCAGGGAGGTCTTCCTTCTTCAGAGGTGAACTCAGAGAGGCAGAGACAAAGCATGAAGTCAACTTGACATTTTAGAAGAACACAAGTATGTGCTAGGAATCTGCAAACCCATGTCACAAGAGGAGGAAGCAGGTACCGATTGTTGGGTAACATTGCTTTGTCCTTCAAGAAGCTTAGGTTTTATCTGGTTACATCCATCAATCTGGTTACACCCACCACAGTGCTCCAGAGGCACTTCCACTTCCATTGTGTTTACATGTAAACATGTAAACAGTCTTCCCTATGCTCTCCTCCCCATCCAGTTAATCAGCTTTCCCCTTAATCAGACTTTGTTAATTTGTAAGATCAGTTTCCCAGAAATCTATGATTTTATATGTATGAGTGAAATATTGCCTTTCTCCTCTCCTTATGCCTTATGAACAGTTTACTTTAAGGTAATATCCTTTTTGTATAGATACAGGAAGACCGTTAACATTATGCTTTGTAACTTAGGATTTGATTGGCCTTGAATATTATTCACTCCGGGCATCTTTCTCGACTTAAGCCTCAGTTGCCCTTAGTTCCTAACACCCCAAAAGCAGGGTCCCGACGAGGGACTGAATGGACCCAGGGCAAGCAGTGAGCTACCCTGGCAGCGAAATGGGCCAGGCCAAAGTGCCACGATTCTTAACTATAAGTTAAGAGTTTGATCATAGACAAATGCTGTCATGATCCAAAGGTAACGACAAGACTAGGATCCTGCTAGGGGTGGGAAAGACTATCTGGCCTGGGCACCGTAGTCTGAGATCGAGATGGCCCTAGGAGAGCAATTCTATAAGTTTAAGATATTTCTTACTGTATCCATACAAAATGATTTATATTATATTCTTGTATGCTTGTCGGACAAGGAGAGGAGAGGCACGCCCATGGGATTCTGCTCTAGGGTGGGTCCTCCTGCTAAGGAAGGATCTGTCCTAGGAGCGGTCTTCCCTGAGGCTAAGATTTCTACCCCTGTTCATCTCCACCCCTATTGATTGCGACCGCACCTAATTGTTTCCCCCAATTCCTCATGGAGAGAGGATTTAACTGTACTGTAGGAGTGGGGCAGGGGGCAGGAGGAAGAAGCAGAAGTTCAGAGAGGATCAGAAGGAAGAGGAGGATGAAGGGGGATGGAGAAGGAGAATGAAGTAGCATGGGAGCAGAGACAGGAGAGACGAGGAGAAACAGAGAGAGATGGGAGCAGAGAGAGAGAAGGAGAGACAGAAGGAGAGATGAGGAGAGAATCAGAATAAACTATGACTAATACCTACCAGCCTGGCCCTCGTTCCTTCCTCCACCTGACCATCGCCATCGACCTCTCCGGGGTGGTAGAAGGGTGAGACTACCGAACGCGGGTGGCGGGAGAGATAGAGCCGCCGCCGTGTGGGTGCCGTGCCACCTATTTGTGTGAGTTTACACACCGATCACACTCACAGCGTTTCTGCCGAGCCAAGAAGCCTCTGCAGGTTAAACTTACTAAGCTTTATTCTCTCTCTGAGATGCCCTTGATTCTCTATATTCCCCTGAGTTATATAGATGGGCCAGATATGTCCCCCTGCACAGCCCCCAAAACGTCACACCCAGTTGACCTTTCCCAGCCCATGTTACCTTGGAATGTGGGAGTATAGTCAGTGAACACCTCAGAGGCTCAGGAAGAAATGGTTTTCTTTACAAAATAAATATCAGGGGCTAGAGGTGGTTCAATGATCGGCCTGAGAAGTTAGCACGAAGGCCCAAGTTCAATAGCCAACCCTGCCAGGAGGCTCCTGGGCACCCCGCATGTCCCCAGCATGCCAGAACCCTGCAGTGCCCCCTCCTTGGAGATCGCCAGGAATGGGCCTGGTCTCACGAATATGGCATGGGAGGCACAGTTCCCAAAGAATCATCAGCCAAGCCTACCTCGAGGCGTGGCAAGGAGGATGGTTCCGTTATCCAGGAACTGACCTTTGTTGATGTTATTTGGGGGGACACATCAGGAAGTCTCTGGGATTACTCCTGTCTCTGTGCTCAGAGACTTCCGGGCTAGGCACAGGGGACCCTACGTGGTGTTAGGGATTGAACCTGGCTTGGCCACATGCAAAGCAAGTGCCCTTTCTGCTGTACTATCCCTCCAGCCCCAAAAAAGTCTATTATGAAACCAGTCAGCATACATCAGCACAATCACACAGAACATCAACTGCCAAGACTGTCAATTTTTTTTGGAGAGGGTTACTCCTGGCAATGCTCAAAGGTTACTCCTGATCCTGCACTCAGGAATTACTTCTGGTGATGCTTCGGGGACCATATGGGATGCCAGGGATCAAACCCAGGTCGACTGCCTGCAAGGCAAACACCCTACACACTGTCCAATCACTCCAGCCTCTGTCAAATATTTTTTAAAAATACAATCAACAGCAACAACAACAACAACAACAACAAAAATCCCAACCAACAAAAGCCCTGTAATCCCTCGGAACAGCCAGTGTCAGAATGGGACAGAGTGCCTGTGACGCCCCCTCCCCCTAGCCCCTGCCCCCGGGTCCTCATTCCCACGGGCACTCCTTATCAGATCTGCCCATGAGCTTTCCAGAGCACAGACAGGCAGCAGTGGTGGGGTGCTGAAACAGCCTGGCTGTGGGGATAGAGGGGTGGGGGATTCGAAGCAGCCACAAGCACTGATGACCAAGTGTGGCTGGTGACCACTCACCAAACACAGTCCTGGCCGGAACGGACTCTCGGTTCAACCAAAAGGACACCTGGGACAGGATGACAGTCATGATACAGGGCAGGTAGGTCTGGATGACGAAGTACCCGATCTTCCTCTTCAGGTGGAAGTGCGCCGTCATGATGGTGTACTCGCCTGCAAAGAAGCACGAAGCTGGTTTGGCCACGGGAAGCCTGGCCACGGCCCCTGCTGCTGCTTAGGACCCCCATGGGCCTGAGGTGGGGGTGCAGGAGACAGAGCCGAGGCTCTGGCCACCACAGTCTCTGCACCTCTGCCCTTTGAATGCCCAGACGCTTTCCTGGGGAGAGTGCATTTGTCCCTTTCCCTAATCCGTGAGCCCCATCTGGGTCGCTCCTGTCAGTCCCCCAGCCTGGCCACTGCAGTCAGTCATCAGTATTTCAGGACTTCATCTAGCAAGAATGGGATCACCGCAGAGCTGCATGGTCTGCTGGAGATGGAATTTGCCCCCTGCTTCGACCAGCCTGAAACACGGGCAGGGGCTTGCCCAGCGGCCTGCAGAGGCAGTTTGAGGAGTCATCAGCCTGATCTCTGTTTTCCCGAGTGGCAGCACTCCCCTAGCCATGCCCTGGGGCCTGCTGTGGATCTGCCTGGCCACGTGGAAGGCACCAGGGGGGCCCATCCACTCATGGCTGAGAAGGAGGCCGTTTTGAGGAAGACAGGTGAGGAGCTGGCATGGGAGGCCATAGGCACGGAGGACTGTTCTCCTTGGCTACTCACCTCTCTCCTCCCAGAAGGGCAAAGGAGATGCCAGGGCACCACTGAGCTGTGCACTTGGTTCTGTGGCTGCAGTGGGAATGTCCATGTCGTGGAATGTGAGGAGACAAGCTTAGGGTGTGCCCAGATGGCCCCAGGTGGGACCGTGTAGCCTGCGGGAATTCCAGCTGCATAGGCTGAGAGGCTCATGGAGCAGCTCTGATGCCCGCAGGGGGTGGGGAGGGTCCAAGCCTGGAGCTTGGTGGGTCCCTAAACACCCCTGTGTGTGCCTACATTGGAGACACTGGTGGTCAAATCTGCCCTCCTTGGGGCTGGAGAGATAGTGCAGGGGATGGTGCTCAACCCCCCCCCAACACTGAATATGGTCCCCAAACCTCACCAGGGTCAGGGGTAGGTCCTGCGCACCACCAGGGGGCCCCTGCAAGAAACAAAATCTGCCCTTTTTGCCTAAAAGGAGACTCCAGTTCTTTTTTTTTTTTTAAATTTTATTCCCAGGGGTTTTGGTTTTGGTTTTGGTTTTGGTCATACCTGGTGATGCTCAGGGGTATCTCCTGGTTCCTCACCCAGAAATTACACCTGGAGGTACTCAGGGGATCATATGGGATGCCGGGGATTAAAGCCAGGTCGACTCCATGTAAGGCAAATGCCTTCCCTGCCCTCTGATCACTCTGTCCCGAGACCCTAGTTTTTGACAGTACCTTGCAACTCACTGGCATGGGGAGGGGGCGAGGGGGTCTCAGCACAAGAGAGACAGAGTGATGAAGGAAGAGGCATTACAGTGGCCATGAGTGAGTCCTACAGGACCTGGCTGGAAGGTCCATGTGAGAAGAGCGGAACTGCAGCTGAGTCTGGAACTGCTTGCCTATTTGGAATTCCTTTCTGTTGTTCTTTTCAATTTTTTTTCATTAGTCAAAACCAGGTAAATACAATAGTAGATTGATTTTAAGAATAAGAATGAGAGAGACAGAGAGACAGAGACAGAGACAGAGAGAGATAGACAAAGAGAGAGTAAGAGATAGAGAGAGAGAGAGAGAGAGAGAGAGTGAGACAGAGACGAAGAATCAGAGAGAGGGAGAGAAACAGGGGAGAGAGAGACAGAGAGAGGAGGGACGGGGGCTCAAGTGCTTTCCTTGCATGAGGCTGGTTTCACCCACAGCATCACATTTCACCCTGAATGCACTGCTGGGAGCAGCGTGGGGCTGGTCTAAAACACCCACCAACACTGCACAAAGAAGACCCAGAGGTGAAGGGTGGGGGGTGGCTCCATGCACTGGGAGCACTCAGGGGCACTCCCCAGTATGCATGGTTCCCAGCATCTAAACACTGAGCCTGGAGTAGCCCTAAACACCACCAGGTGTGTCCCCCTAAGCAAAAACCAAAGTTACTTTATTTAGGGTTACATTAAGGCACACCCCTACACCCACCCCTAAGACCAGCTCTGTTACCACACCTGGCGGTCCTTGGGGATGATTCCTGGCCTGGTGCTTAGTGGCCCTGGCCTGCTGGAGTAGGACCCAGATCACATCACCGTCCCCCAAACACATACGCAACCTGCTAAGTCACCCTTGAACTAAGGATGCCCAAGCCAACAGCCTTCACCAGCATTGCCCAAACACTGCTGAGTCCCTACTGAATCCACCTCCTCTTCCTGTCTTTTAAATAAGACCTTAGAGAAGCCCCAGCCCACCCCTGTCCAGGGCCATGTGGGACAGGAACTGCTTCCTGGCAGCTCCCAGGTGTGATGCTATCCTCCGGGCTCCATAAGCTTGAGTCTCTCTGCAGGTGTTTCTGGGGTGGGACTATTGTGACGGGGGCTGACCCAGGCCCCTCTCCCCAGCAGAGATTGTGGAGCTTCAGGGCTCCACAACCTCTAGCTGACCTTGACTCCTGGCACTGAGCCTGAATGGCCAGAAGGTGCCCCAGACACATCTGAATACTCAGGCTCTATTTTGCAAAGCCAGGGACCAAACCCACATCTCCTGCATACAAGGCCTGGGTTTTACCCAGAGCTACAAGCTTGCTGCCACCCAGCATGCTTAGATCAGGACTGTCCCTGTACCTTTGGACACCCAGCCCTATGCCCCTGGCTTCTGGCTGCCAGTTCTAGACAGCCTTTGGACACCCAGCCCTATGCCCCTGGCTTCTGGCTGCCAGTTCTAGACAGCCCGGTGGTGCTTTGCAAAGTTTGGCCTCAGGAAAATCCCCTCTAGAGAGTTCTGAGCAGAAGAGGGCAGTGTGGAGAAAGGCAGTGTGGGGGTGGGTTGAATGATGAGGGTTGAGTGCGCAGGGCTGGGGAGCAGCAGTCAGAGGAGCCAAAGGGGCTCTTAGGGAAGTGCTTGTAGCTGAATGACCCAGAGGAAGTGGATAAGGCAGGTGCCACTGTGGGCAGTGGCAGGGAGGGGGCAGGGTCTGGCAGTGGGGCCCCAAGGGTCAGTGGAGACACCAGGGCTCTGTGTGTCCCCTGGAGGTTCTCACCCGTGCTGGTGCTGATATTCTCTGTGCCCACCGTGTGCCCCATCAGATGGTACTGGTTCAGCCTGGAGCCGTCTTCCGCCACTACCACTGACTTGGTGGTGCCATTGGTCCACACGTAGACGACCTCAGAGTTAGGGTATGCATCTGAGGGGGGGCAGAGAGACAGGGGTGTTAACACGGATGCACTCATGGATGCTGATGCAAGAGATGGGCCAGAGCGATGGCACGGTGTATTGGGACTCACCTTGCACGCAGCTGACTCACGTTCAATCCCTGACATCTCTGAGGGTCCCCTGATGCCACCAGAGGTGATCCCTGAGTGCAAAGCCAGGATATGTCCTGAGTACTGCCAGGTGTGACCCCAAAGCAAAAAATAAATAAAATAATGCATCCAGGACAGGTGGGGAGCTGGCCAAGCTCAGGGTCACAGCATGTGGAATGGGATGGTGCAGAGGGAGAAGGAGGAAGATCCACAGTGACCCTCCGCTCTGGTAGAGGAGAAGAGAGGGGGCTGGACAGGCCTGAACTGTGACCAGCCCTTGGACATAGCATGCAGAGCTGGGGAGGGGGGAGCAGGGGCCAGGAAGGGGGAGGCAGAAGTAATAACGAGTTGGGCTGGAGGCTCTGGGGCAGTTCTGATGGAGACAATGAGGAACTTGCTCATTCAATGTCAGAAATGTTACCACGACTAAAACCCTGTATCCAAAACTAGAATAAAAAAAAAGAACGAAAAAAAAACACAAAATAAAGCCCAGTGCCAAGGAGCACATGAGGGGGCAGAGCAGGGCATACCTCTGGCCCCTCTGCCCTTCTCATATTGGGGTCTGAGAGCTCAGCATCCTGGGGTCATGCTCCCTTCCAGGCCCCCCCAGCTCACTGGCTTGGCTTCGCTCCCCCACCTGCAGTGGGTCAGGCCTCTGCCTTGGGGCCTCCTACAGCTCCAGGGGACCCCCCTGATTACCTCAGATACTTGGGTTTCGCTGTGCCACAAGCCTCTGTCTGCGTAAGTAAGGCTCAGCCCTGGGGTCAGGGCTAGGGACGTGTCTGATGGGGTGTGGGCTGGCGCTGAGCAGAGATGGGTTCTTACAGCATCACATCACTGGACACCCCCAGCAGGGCTGGCAACCCACGTTGCTGGGATGTTTCTTTCAGCATGTTTCGGTTTTGGAGCCATACCTGGCTGTGCTCAGGAGAAATCACTCCTGGCAGTGTCGGGAGACCACACGGGGGGATTGAACCAGGGCTGTCTACAGGTGAGGCAGGTGCCTTCTCTGCCATGCTGTGCTATATATCTCTCTGGCCCCTAATGCAGGTTCTAAAACATCACGGGCTGTGAGGGCACAGAGGGAAACTGGCTTTCTGTCTGGTGATTAGCATTTCCTGTGGCGCCAGAAGGTTGACATGCTGGTTTGCTTGGAACAGATCATGAGACAGTGAATTCAGGTAGAAAGATCTTTGCAGGTGACTGAATTGGACCTTGAGCACAAGTCCTTCTACAGGACTACTATATCTCATAACTGAAGAGCTAAATAGCTCAACACTGGGTGTCAGTTAAGGCACTGAAGATATTTGTGAATTCCAAATGGCTCTCAACCGCTCCCTGGTATTTAACTGGACTGTCAACGTGTCCATCATCAGCTCCTTGATATTTAACTGAACTGTCTCTGTGTTCATCATCAGCTCCCTGGCACTTACTGAAGTGTCTCTGTGTCCATCATCAGCTCTCTGGGAGTATAAGACAATTGTGTATCTGTCTGTAGCACTGTCTTCCCGTTGTTCATCAATTTGCTCGAGCAGGCACCAGTAACGTCTCCATTTTGAGACTTGTTACTTGTTTTTGGCATATTGATTACATCATGGTTAGCTTGCCAGGCTTTGCCATGCAGACCCTATACTCTCGGTAGCTTGCCAGGCTCTCCAAGAGGGGCAGAGGAATCAAACCAGGGTTGGATGGGGTTGGCTGCATGCAAGGCAAGCGCCCTACCTGCTGTGCTATTGCTCCAGCCCGATTGTGTGTCACACTCAACAAAACTAAATACACCTAAAGGGTTTGTCACCTAGTAATCAAAGTGATGCGTCTAAACGCAGACACAACTTTCATATTTTTACAACCTCCCGACATGTAATATGCATATCAGGCACTCCACAAACTGCCTTCCACATCACCCCCTGCATGCTGAGTCACTGGACACTGGCCATGAGCAAACAGCCGAGTCAGAGTCAGCCCTCTGAGCTGAATATACTGAGGGTCCAGTCCTGGGCTGGAGCGATAGCACAGCGGTAGGGCGTTCGCCTTACAAGCGGCCAACATGGCCGACCCGAGTTCGATTCCTCCGCCCCTCTCGGAGAGCCCGGCAAGCCACCGAGAGTATCTCGCCCACACGGCAGAGCCTGGCAAGCTCCCCATGACGTATTCGATATGCCAGACACAGTAACAACAAAGTCTCCAATGGAGACGTTACTGGGCCCGCTCGAGTAAATCGACGATCAACGGGAGGGCCTTTACCTTACCTTTACCTTACCAGTCCTGTGATGTCTATACATTTTCCCAAATCCAAATGTTGCTTCATGATTTAATCTAACATTTTATATATCACCCCACAAATGAGATAAACAAACCTTAGCTGCACTGCCCTTTCCTTAACAACTTTGGGTTGTTGAAGCAGTTGCTTCCAACTGTACACCTTGTCATTATCTGTAGAGAATCTCCTCAGACTAGGAAATATCCCTCTCTTCGTGAAGACTCATTTCAACCTTCATTTGAATTCTTGAAAGTACAGATAATAATAACAGAAAGGTCTGTTAATTCGGTTTTGTGTTAGAGAAGCTTGAGCATGTGGCTCATTAGAATAATGACACCTATTTGCATTCTTTGTCTCCTAATAACAGAGAACCACCGTTGGATTGGGTAATTTAAAACTCATTAGAAGATCACATTTAGCCTCTGCACCCTCAGATGCCTCTGGTGGAAGTGAACTATTGGCCAAACATTTATTTTTAGTACATACAAAAAATTTAAAAAAAAACAAGAGAAAAGCTCCAATTCAATAATATTTCTTCACTTATATGTATTGTGCACTGTGTTGAAACCAAGTGAGTTGAGAAAAGGTGATGTTTATGCAGAGTTTTTCTTTTTCTTTTTCTTCATTTTTTTAGCTCTGGGAAAACTGCATACTAACATAATAAAGAATAAAATTCTTTTAATTACTGTGTATATCATAATGGTATTAAGAGAAAATACAAAGAAGCAATTTAACCAACATCTGAACCAAACACTATTCTTCAAAATATTGACCAGATAAAAGAAATTTAGCATGAGATTCAGTCTTCTGGACAGTCTACTATATACACGTACAGAGATCTCAACTGGGGTAGACAGGAAAAGCATCTCTCCAGAGTCTGAGTTCTGAATGTGGCCAACACTTCAGTTTGTTAGTTGTAGAGTCTGAGATAATTTAGTGAAGGACTAGAAGATCACCTCTTTTTCTTCCACAAAAACCTCTTTCCCTTCAGCGATGCTTGCCTTGTACTGCACTGGCATTAAATCTGAATATCACATTGATTCGTACCTCGTTAACTCATGAAAAATTTCATCTCTGACATGCAGCGTTTTGCCTCTGCTGAAATCAAGAACATAATTTTCACACACAAAGTGGCAACATTCAGCATGTTTTCCTCGTGGGAATATGAACAATTCATTTGCCTCAGACACATGAATCACTTTTTCCCCTGGTGAAAGCTTCAGGGATCTCTGGAAGGTTCTGTCTCATGACCATATGTGGTCAGCATCCGTTGGTAGCCAGTGACAAATCCTGACGAGTTCCTCTCCTTTTTCCTACTTCCCCAAATCATCGTATCTTTTTTTTCTCTGTGACATTTAAAGTCATTGAAAAGAAAATGACTTATTTCCATCTAACCTACTATTAGGCTCATCACACATATTTAACTCTACTAATCCCAATTAAAAACAAAACAACAACAACAAAAACCTTTCAGCTAAAACCTGTGGTATTGAAAGAAGTCTCCACTCCAAGTAAATGCAATGGGGCAACAAGTGACTCTGTATACGAAAAAAAATCTTTGGGTGGGCTGAGGTCGGGGCACAGGGGTAATTGGTGTGTAGTTTGCATGTGCAGAACAATGATTAGTCATCAGCACTACATGCCCCAGGATCCCTGGGGGCAGACCCGAGGGTCCCCAAACACCATTGGGTAGGGTTCTGGAGGACTCTGACACCGTAGGGCACCAGCAGCACCAAACTTGTTCCCTTGGTTGACCCCATCCGGCTTGGTTGGTCAAGTATTGAGGGGTGGTCCTGCGGTGGTGGAGGAGGCAGAAAACACAGAACTAAAATAACGCTGGAAACACTAGAAATGAACAAGTAGAGAAAAAGATGGAAACAGGGGGAAAGGGGCTCCCTGAAAACAGGGAACACTTTGAATATTGCTGAGTGAGGACCAGGAGTGTGTGTCTTACAGGCTTTAGACCCCCATAGCTCCCTGTCTCCAGCACCAGGGGGCCTGTGTGGGGCCACATCCTTGAGTCCTGACACTGCACTGTTGACTGTTGGTCCCTGGGCCTCTAGAATACTGCTTTGAAGACCAAAAGACCAGCTACTGCTGTCTCCATGAGTCGATGTTAAAGAGAAACAGACTCTGGTCTTATGCGCTTGAAGACCCACAAGAGAGAGTGGGGCTAAGAGAGCAGCATGACTAGACACAGAGGGGTAGAGTCACAGGAACTGTGTAATGGTGCATTCACAGCTTCCAGAAGGTGGCTCACTTGGACATACAAGGTACCTTTCCACCACCCAACTCATGTCAAAGAGCAATGGCCCAATATTGTAGCTCCTGACGAGCATAGGAAAATTAGAGTTTGAAGTTAGAGCCAATCAAGCCGGCTCAGCCACACCAAGCAGGGGGTTGAATCTGAATGGGCTGCATGCTAGGCTAGCATCCTGCCCACTGGACTATCTCTCTGCCCCCCAGCCCCCAACTGCAGCCTTTGAAGTCATAGTGGGCTGGAGACAAGCTGGCTCCCTGGGTGGGCCTGAGGGGTGAATAGCTCTGCTGACACCTGTGGACACAATCTTCCGGGTCTCTGATAGGATGTCTGGATAGCATCCAGGCAGCCTTTGAATGGAG